AGCACCCCAAAGTCCTCCTCCTCCTCCTCTCCACAAACCCTCCTCTACCTTCTAGCCCTGATAATGTTCCCTAGTTGGGTCATGAAATGTCTGCAAGAAAACCACCAAGCTCAGAGAGCACCAAGGACCCCACAGTCTTCCTCCTCCTCCTCCTCCTCTCCACAAACCCCACTCCCTTCTAGCCTTGATAATGTTCCCTAGTTGGGTCATGAAACGTCTGCCAGAAAACCACCAAGCTCAGAGAGCACCGAGGATCCCGCCGTCTTCCTTCTCCTTCTCTCCTCTTCCTCCACTCCACAAACCACTCTTCCTAAACCTTACTCCCCTTCAGCCCTGATGATGTTACCTAGTTGGGTCATGAGACGTCTGCAAGAAAAGCACCCAGCTCAGCGGGCACCCAGGTCCCTACAGTGTCCTCCCAGTGACTCTTAAGAGGAAGTGGGAGTCTTCCCACTGCAAGGCGGTGGGGCGGCTCCTAATTTCCACAGGACGGCAGCGGCTTTGCAACCTCAGGAACTTGCACGAGGTGGAGGAAGCCACGAGTTCAGCTCTCCACCCCTTCGACCCACCAAAATCCATTGGATTAACCTTAACGGTGGTGAGATTCGCCGGCAGCAGGTGTGGACGGCTGAGGTCTCGGAGAGCGAGGACTCAGATGAGGGGCCTGCGTGTGATGCAGGGATGGGGCCAGGACCATCGGGGAGTGGAGTGCTGCCTTTGGAGGTTGTGGAGGCTGGCAGCAGTGAGGAAGAGGACCCCGAGGAGCCTGTGCCCAGTGCGTGTGCACGCAGGGCTGCTCGAAGGAAAGAGCAGCTGCAGCAGCACGGGCGACTCAGGAGTAAGGCTGCAAGGTAACGGCCCCTCCCTGAGAAGATAAAAGCCAGCTGAGAAACCGGAGTTCTTTGCAGGAAGCAAAGACGTTTTTGCTCTCAAGCCTTGTAGACGTTCGGAATATCTTGGTTGGTGTTTGGAGACTCTTTGTGTTTGAAATATTCCTTGGCAACTTGATCTCGTGTTCTTGGCAGCCTTGCACCACAATTAGTTTGAAACAGCCTTTTCACCGGGAAGGAACGGAATTCGTAGAGAACCATTAATAGGTTGTGCTGTTGCCTTTGTCTTTGCTTCCTTGGAACCAGGTTTGGGTCAGAACAACCTGTGAGAACGAAGCCCCTTCCACACACCCCTGTCCCACCCAACCAAAACAACAACTGGTCCATCGTCTCGGAGTCAGAGGGCCGTTGGAAAGAACACCACGGGGGCATCGGTCGCAAGTACGGTATTCTAGTTTAATAAATAAATAACCTAACACACTGTGGACTAGGGCAGCCTGGTGCTGAGTTCAGAAGCTTGTGCTGGGTTCATCCTGCAAGGGAGCCAGAGGTGTCTTGGGATCGAATCCTCCTCCCTCCGGTGGGAGATTTAATACCTGTTGGATCAGAGAAGGAAAGGAGCGGACAGGTTTGAGTAAGAGGGGCTGGTTTTGAAGGGCTGTTGGTTTGGGAAGGGGGAACTGGGAGGGAAACGCCATCTGGGAAGGGTTATGAATATTAAAGGAGACCATGCAAATAAGTCCTCATTTTACGACCCCGTTTGGGAGTGGAATTTTCTCTTGAAAAGCAAGGCAATCGTTAAATGGACCCCATCTGATTTTGCAAATCTTTCTCTCTTTTTTCTTTTCTTTTGCCGCCATTGCTAAGTGAATTATGGCAGTTGTGAAGTGAATCTTGCAGTCGTTAAGTGAATCTGGTCCCCCCCCCCCCCCGTTTTGGTGGACGGTCACAAAGGAGGAATCCCATGATTCCGGACATTGTTAAATGTCATCGTAAATACAGGCAGTCCTTGATTTACGACCACAATTGAGGCCAAGGTTTATGTTGTGCTAAGCGACCAAATTGGTTCGGTGAGTTTTGCTCCTGTTTTACGACTTTCCTGCCCACATTTCGTTAAGGGAATCACTGCCATGGTCACACGGTGGCTAAGGGAATCCTTGACTTTGCTGGCCAGGGGGGTCGCAAATAGGGGACGACGTTGACCCTTGGAGCACGGGAAGCGTCATAAAGACAAGTCAATTGCCAAGGATCGGAACGCTGATCCTGTGACTGTGGGGAATGCTGCGACGGCCGTTCAGGGTGCAAGAAACTGTGTCCGAAGTCACTTTGTTTGGGGCCGTTAACGTGGAAGAGTCACTAAATGAACCATGGTAAGTCGAGGACTACCGGTATACGTCGTTTTTTTGTTTTTGTTTTTAAATCTACGTGTCAACTCATAAAATATTTCTGTGGTCTTTTTGGAGTTGCCAACAAAAAGGGAGGGGGGAGCAGTGCGGCAGCTTGCAAACCGAAAGCGCATTCCATCAATGTTTCCAAAGATAGTAACTAGGTGACTGAAGTTTCTGCCATGCAAAATTCTAACTCAAGGGTCTCCCAACTTGGCAAGTTTGAGACTTGTGGACTTCAATTCCCAGAATTCCTGAGCTAACATGACCGGAGGAGGAATTCTGGGAGTTGAAGTCCATGGGTCTTGAGGCTGTCGAGTTTGAAGAGCCTTGGTCTAACTGGAGAGCCTGATTGATGACTCTGGGCTATGGACGCGTCCCATTGGAAGATATGGATTACAATACACCCAGGGGGTGAGGGGGGAAACCAGGGTCAAGGGTGACAATGAATGATGTGTCTCAGAGTCGGCTACACCCAGGCAGTGCCGGGCATGTTAACTCCCAATAAACCCCTTTGAAGTTTTGGAAGGTTGGCTCGAGACTCAGGATTTAAATGGGGGGGGGGGGGGCCCGATGGAACCCTGTCGGGCCGCTTGGCAAAATCCACACAAAAAGGACTCGACCCACCCAAAGGGAGTTACCTGTAATAGTTTGGCTTAAAAGGCCCGTTTTTGTTCAGGCCCAAGTATTTCGCCTGCTCGTCCGACAGTTCGGTCAGGTGGGCGTCGAACGTGGGCAGGTGGAGGCTTGCCACGTACTCGTCTGCAAGAGAGGAAGGGGGGCAGTGAGACCTGAAAGGGGGGAGGGGGAGCAACCTAAACCCCAACCAAGCTCCTTGTGTCTCTCTCTCTCTCTCTCTCACACACACACACGCACAGACAGATGATAGATGGATGGATGGATGGATAGACCAAGGTCCCTTCCAACTCTGTTAGTCTGCTATCCTTCCTTCCATCCTTCCTTCCTTCCTTCCTATTTTCCTCCCTCCCTTCCTTCCTTCCTTCCCCCTCCCCCCCCTCCTTCCCCCTTAGCACTAGCCCTTAGACCAAGGGTCTTCACACTTGTCAAGTTTAAGACTTTGTGGGCTTCCAACTCCCAGAATTCCTGAGCTAACCTGACGGGAGGAGGAATTCTGGGAGCTGAAGTCCACAAGTCTTAAAGCTGTCGAGTTTGAAAACCCCCTGGAATAGATTGATAGAGAAAGAGAGGTAGAATAGATAGATAGAGAGAAAGAATAGATAGATAGAGGGAGAGGGACAGAAAGACAGAATAGATATAGATAGAACGGATAGACAGATAAAGAGGTGGAATAGATATATATACAGAGAGAGAAGAGATAGATAGGCAGGCAGACAGACACGGACAGACAGAATAGATCAAGGGTCTTCAAATTTGACTTGTGGACTTCCAACTCCCAGAATTCCTGAGCTAACCTGACGG